AGGAAAAATGCTGAGAAATGGAAAAAATGGAAACAAAGTCTTTGTAAATAGGGAAGGGTGGAGGGGGTGAAGGGAGGGCTAGAAATGGGGAAAAAATAAGAACCAAGATGCATTATGTAAAGGTAGAATTTCCAGTGAGAAATGTAATTGTGTTGTATACCTAAAATGTACCAGTAAAAGAATTTAACAAAAAAAAAAAAAGAAAAAAAGAAAAAAAAATCTGTGATTGCTATGGCCACACTGTTAACTGAATCACAGTGATACATTCGCAGTGATGATTTGCAACTTTATTGATATTTCCCAGAATTCTCAGTGGTCAAGTTATTAGTTTGTCCAAGCATATGACATATTATGAATTTATTTTCCTTATAGGTATCCTACTGGTTTTCACATCCATGGAAGTGAATATTCTTGTGGCTATCACAGTAGTATTTTCAATTTTGTAAATCAGGAACATTTAAGACAGTGGACACTTTCAACTCACCACGTTTCAGTTGCCTGGGCAGTGAGAGGGGATTGCCAGGGTCACAGGTTCAGGACTCAGTGACCTGAACACAAGACCTACCTGAATGGGGCCACTATGCTTATGAACATCAAGAGAGAACAAACAGAGTGTTTTTCTGAGACCTTGGGGTTTGGAGACAGGCTATCAGCACGAAAAGGAGGTATAACCCAAGCTGCCCTTGATATGGCTTCTTAATTGATTTCGAATATCAGATTGAAGATGAGACGACTGATGGAAGAGGCCAGAATGTTGAAGACCACAGTTTTTGAAAAACATGCCATTGGCTCGTAACTGTCCCAAAGCGCCATCTGATCAGGTAGAAAATGCAAAGCTATGGCAGGATCTTTCCATGACAGCTTGGCCAAGGCACCCACCTGACTTGGGCAGGAGCTCACCTAGCTCATCACAGACAAGGGAAGGATGATCCACTTTCTCTTTCCCATATTCTAGAACTTATATTTTCCCAGCACATTCACTCCTGTGCCATTGCAGAGGCTGACGACAAAACCCAGGCAGAACAGACAAGCCTCAGTCATATGCCCTGTGAGTTAAGCTTTACCTGGACCAGAGAGCCAGAAGACACCAGAAGTTGGCAGGGAGTACTTGACCTTAGATGTGAGACAACTTCCCCTGTGTCACAATTCTGCCCTGAACTTGAGCTGCCCACCTCAGCACCTTGTCCAGGAGGCTGTTTCTTGTTTGTTACAAAGAAAATAAAAGTCTACCAAGATCAGTTAATATATAAAATGTCTTCACTGCACTAGACTCATGTACAAATCTTACAGGGAGAGCTTGATGATAATGTGTAAAATCAAAGGGATATAAAATCTACAAAAGAAATTGAACTGTTGAGCAGAAACAAAAAGAAATAAAGAAAAGTAATCTGTGAGGAAAAACTTACTAAATCTGTGAGCAGACACTTATTCACCATCTACAATGTGCAGAAAAATGTGCTGGTAAGGTCTAAATAAAGACTTATGCCATAAATCTGAAAATTGGCCAGGCTTGGTGGTGCTTACCTGTAATGCCAGCACTCAGGAGGCTGAGGCAGGAGGAGCATCATGAGTTTGAGGCCACCTTGGGGTACATAGTAAGCCAGCCTGAACTACATAGCAAGACCCTATCTCAAAAACAAATCTGAAAATAGAAGTAACCTTATAGATAAAAATAGCTAATGAGTATTAAGTAAGTATTAAGCTCCATTTTATATGCCCTAAATGTTTTCATATAGAAATCTACATTCTTCGTTAATTATAATGTTAATTTGTCTGGGTGTGGTGGTGTACACCTGTAATCCCAGCACTCAGGAGGCTAAGGCAGGAGGATTGCCATGAGTTTGAGGATAAACTAGGCTACACGGTAAGTTCAAGGCCAGCATGGACTACACAGTGAGTCCTTGCCTGAAAAAAAAACAAAAGAGTTAATTTGTAAAAATGTTTATCGAGCATTTAAGTGTCAAGTAACTCACACACATTGTCATACTTAATGCTCACAAAAACCCTGTGAGAGTAGGTAAGCATCTTAACTCAGGTTCCTATAATGAAATATCACAAACTGAGCAGCTTAAACAGAAATTTACTTCTCACAGTTCTGAACACTGGAAGTCCCAGGTCAGAGGGGGAACCAGTTTGGTCTCCAGTGTGGTTTGTTTTCTTGGCTTGTAGACTGCTGCTGTCTTGGCACTCTATCCTCACATAGCAGAGGGAGAATGAATATGAGAAAAGGAGAGGAGAAGAAGACAGAGGGGGAGAAGGGAGAGGGAGAGGGAGCACACTCCTGTGTCTCATAGGGACACTAATCCTATTGGATCGGAACTCCACGATACGACCTCATCTAACTACTTCTTTACTTCATATATAGCAGCACTAGGAGCTACGACTTTAATGTATGAATTTAGGAGGAATGCAATGAAAGATCATTGTCATTTAACAAATAAAGCTCACAGAGATTAATGAGACCACCTAAGACCTCACAGCTAGTAAATGAGAGAAGCAGGATTATGAACCTAGGAAGACAGACTACTCAACACAATGGTCTTAACAACTACCCTGAATAAGAAAGCATAAATTACTCAGAAGCCTGCCAGCAAGACAATCACTATGATTTCTTGACTATTTGCCAATCTACACATTTTTCTTGCAGCTATAAATGTCTTCATTAATCTGCATGCTGTTTATCACTACTTAAGAATAATTTGCACACACACGTCTATATGTCAAAAACATACACTTGTATTTTATATTAATATCTGATATCTTATAGGAATTTCTTATGAACCCTCTTTTCAAGCCATCCTCACTGCCACTGGTCTCACACTGACTCAACAAAACTGTCAGTCCCTTAAATGGATTCTTGGCTTCCAGTCTCGCCTCTTCCATCATCCAAGCTGCACTTGCAGTGATCTTTATAAAACCTGAGTGTTGTCCACTATGCTTCTCCCTTCTAGCAACCCTCCACTGAGTCCCCACTTGATGGTGTGCAGAGTGCAGGCTCCATAGCCTGGTGTATTTGGTGCCCTGTAGCCCTCCAGCTCCCCTCCACCCCCTGCCATACTGATGCACTTCTACGTCCCTGTGTGCCTGGCCAGCCCTGCATCCTCATCTCACTCCCTGAAGGCAGCCTCCCACCATCAGCCTGGAGAAATCCCCCCATCTCTCCAGATCCACAGATGAAGCCCATCTTCTCTGCAGAATGTGCTCATGCTTTGCCAACTAAGTGGATCCCACTTTCTGTGTACCATCTTTGCACTGCCCTCGATTCTCCCACTTACCCCCTGTCCTAGACATTGTCCCTCCTTCTCCACTGCTGCACTGAGTTACCGGAAGGTAGGCACTCCCTGTGCTTTACAGATATGTATTTGTTACCTCGTAGACACAGTAAAGTCCCTATCAATGTTTATGGTATATGAACCAGTTCATTAACTAACTGAACTATTTGCTTAGGCATTTCCCCTTTATTTGTCAACGTGTTTTTGTCCATCTTCTGTAGATGTGAACTTTTCCATAATTATTCTTTCTACATGATTTCCTGGGAATTTGTTCCTCACATAGAAATAATATAGTACCAATTTTGTAGTTCATAGTTCATATTTTTTGCCAATGACTCACCAGAATGATGGAACTAACTCACTGTGCCACTGGGCAAATTGGAATCAGGGAACAGCAGGATGAACCCCACGGCCTTAATCAAATCCATCCGAGAGGCATTCTCCCTGAAGAGTGAACCTTCGTCTATGGCATTGCCTTGCCTGGTTCTTTAAATGTAGGAGGTACTCAGTCATCGAAGAGAGAGGCGGAAAACATTAACTATGAATTTTTAGCTAAGAAAACCAATGTCTTTTGTCCCTTACTTTTCCTAAACTTCTCCTACTTTATTTTTAAAATGTCATTTATTTGTTTGCTTGCTTTTGCAATGCTAGAGATTGAACCCAGGGCCTTACACATGCTAGGCAAGTGCTCTACCACTGAGCCCTTTTTAAATTTTATTTTGAGACAAGATCTCACTAAATTGGCCAGGCTGGCTTCAAACTTTCAAGCTTGGGCCAGGGATTTAGCTCAGTGGTGCTGCCGCCTGCCTCACAAGCACAAGGTCCCAAGTTCGATCCCTGGTACCAAAAAAAAAAAAGGAAAAACAAAAAGAAACTTTTAAGCTCTCTGCCACAGTCCTCCTAGAAGCCAGCAGATCAGACATGCACACCTATGTCTAGCTATCTCCTGCTTTCGTTTAAATGAAAGAATTTTGTTTCCAGAAATTTTTCACTTTAGCTTTCCTCTCTGCCTCTATTGCTTGGTATGGTTCCACACTTAGTCCTTTAAAGAAGATGACAATTATTTTTAGGTCAATAGAAATTAGTAAAAGAAGAAAAAAAAAAAAGCATGGCCATCTGACCCAGATTCTGACCCTGACTTGTCCCCGCAGCCTAGAAACTGCTTCTGGCTTTGTTGTTTGAATAACCTCTGGGTGACCCTTCCACCCCCACAGCTCAAGTTTGAGCTCCAGAACAAATATTTGTCCACATTTTGAACACAGTTAGAGAGCTTTCTTCTTTTTCTTCTTTTTTAAAGGGAACCGTTCTCTTCTGGGTTTCCTTTGAACTTAATTCAGTAGAAGGAGCTGTGTTCTCCCCAGACCATCTGCTCTGGAGATGTTGGCAGAGCTGTCCAGAAAAATGAAACAACTCATGTGCTTGCTCATCTGGTTCTTTCTTTTGGAAGCACCAGCCTTCGAAATCCCCACAAATGGACTTCCTGAAGTAAGTAATTCCAGAGGACTCTTGATGTTGTCCTAAACATGCAGTCAGTAAAGAGCTGATTGTCCTGTAATTGCTATTCAATGACCTTGTTCCATGTAGAATGGACACTTGTGAGAATATTCATCAGAGTGCAAGTGTTTACTCTTATAATTACTGGAATATGTGTTTGCTTCTTAACACATTAACAGGTTTTGTATGTTTGTAAGTCAAGTTGAATGATCAGACATCACAGTGTAGCATTTATGGAGCATATTGACTCCTTAAAAATTAGAGTAAAAACAGACTTAATCCACAGGATTTTTATGAGAATTAAATGATACATGTAAACTACCTAGCACAGTGCATGGACCAGTAAGTGCTTACTAATTATTGGCTATTACTGTTAAGAAATGTCACAATGGCTCTTAATAGAAGTTATTATCATGGCACCATTGTGTTTCATGCCTAACTGACCAATGATTTTTGTAATAAAGACATTTTAAATATTCGTATTATAGGGGGAGATGGCAAGTGGGCTGGCAAAGTGAAGGAATAATTCCCATGGAGCCCCGTCTCCATTCTGAACCCTTCTCCATCTCAATATATGGAAGTTCTTGGACAGAGTCATTCTGAAAGTCAGACAAGAGCTACTTTTATGCTAGAAAAACAAAAAAAAATGTTATAGGACTATCCTAGCAAATGCGGGAGTCTGTAATGCTTGATGGATGGATTATCTACAAAGATACCAAGAACTACTTTAAAGATTATAATACATAGTGTAATAAGTATTGTTATTCTCTTATTATTTGGTTTTGAAAATGTTTTATTTTTTCATAAAATAAAAAGGAAAAAAGTGATGTTTGAGGATATAGATATATTTATCCTTATTCAAACATTAACATACCATATACATGTATCAAAGCATTATATGGTACTACATAAATATGTATAATTTTATGATTTTATGTATCAATCAAAAATAAATTTAAATTATTTCAATTGCTAAGAATGTAATAGCATGTTTGCAAGGGGAAAAAATCACTCTATTTAGACACCATCATATTTTCTAATACTTTGAAAAGCACTAGTGTGTTGGAATCTCAAATTGAAGCCAAGACATCCAAATGTATTTGTGCTTTTTCAGTCATTTCTAACTGATGTTTGTCTCCTACATACATTTTTAAAGTAGGGAGATGAATGGCTCACATCTTCCCTGTCCAGCACTTTTTTTTTTTTTTTTTTAACCAAGGATCGAACTCCGGACCTTGCGCTTGCGAGGCAGGCAGCAGAACCACTGAGCTTTTTTTTTTTTTTTTTTTAACCAAGGATCGAACTCCGGACCTTGCGCTTGCGAGGCAGGCAGCAGAACCACTGAGCTGAATCCCCAGCCCTGTCCAGCACTTTTAATGCACCTTCCACCCCACCCACCAGGTTCACCCAGATACTTCCCCAGGTACTTACCTAATTACTGGATCATTTTGACCCCTTCATACCTGTCCATCATCTCCATGCAAACTCAGAAATATAATTCCTGCATCCAAAAAAATCAGATGTCAATTTCCATTTACTCTCCTCTGAGACCTAACTAGCAAACATAAATATATTGCAGAAACCATTGTGTAAAAAAAAGAGATTGTATAGAGGCAGAGGAAAGAATGTAAAATAATACAATGAACACTACCAGCTGCCTCTTTCACTCTAGATTTTTAAAAATAGAAATAAATACCCTAAATTCTTTTTAAGTTTACAGAATATGGTGATCTTGTGGAATTGGCCCCAGCCAAATTTCAATTTGTGACAGACAACCGGAGGTATCAGGTACAGTAAGCTTTGCTCCTGAAGGGAAAATATTGCATGAGGTCATCATTGAAGAAGTAAGAGAGGTATGAAGATGCCTGTTGATAGATTTTCTCAAGAGCTCACTTTGTAGCAGAGTCCAGTGGTTTTATACCCAGGTGAAGCATTGTCAAGGGGAAGAAAGTGACACTCCCATATGGGTGTCAGGCAGCCTCCAACCACAGTGGCCATGTAGTTAGTGCCCAGTGTGTGTCTTCCAAATTTAAGACAATGCAATGATTGAATTATAAGAAGGAACTTCCTTCTGGGACCGCATCTCTTAATCTAGTGGTGACAGACCCTTTCCATTGCAGCCACATATTTCCCTTCCTCTGGCCACTCTGTCCTGGGAAGCAGCTCAGAGGGCCCTTTGTGAAGGAGATGTGGCCACCATGGGCTGCATCCTAGAGGTCACAGAGGCAGCATAATCAGGATCCCCTAATTCAGAGGGGTGAGTTCTCTGCAGTGCCAGGAAGGGTTCGGACTCTCCAACACAGAACCCATGTGCTAAGAAAGGAAGTATTCATGGAAGCAACACTAACCTCACCAATGACATGCTTTGAATGGGTATAATATTTGACTTTCTAGAGTCCAAGTTTTTGCAGGTCAATAATATTAAAACCCAATAAGCAAGACTCATCTAGGCACAAGAGAGTAAACGTGATTACTGAGCTTTGCACTGAAAGAAAACAATGTGTTTCAGAGAATCTGCTAAAATCTCAGTTCACTCCAAATCAAACAAGCTGACATTACATCCAACACTTGACTTGTTTTATAATCTCTCAGACAGTGCTCGCTTCAGCAGCACATACACTAAAATTGGAACAATAGAGAAGATTAGTATAATCCCTCAAACATCAAATGTTCACTCATCACTCTTAAGCCACTCACCTTTCAAAGACAAGGTGATTTCCTCCATCCCTTCTACAAGACAGTTATTCATATGGATAATCTCCTAGCATGGTGGTAAGAGCATAGAATTTTTCAGGTGCCAGTCACTGTGCTTGGCACCAAGGTTAACCATGGGGAAAACACATCAAAATCCCTGCTGTTATGCAGCTTAGTCCAAAAGAAGGAGATAGACCCTAAGTAATTCATCCCTCAAGTAGAATGGATATTTATAAAGCCCAGTAAGATGCTCTCAGCAAAGGAAAAGCTGCAATGAGAACACAAAGTAAAGGAAACTGGCCAATCAGGAGGACAGAAGAGTGAGGGTAGAGTTTTCACTGAGGAAATTCTACCAGAGCTGAGATTTGAAGGGTGGGATCAGAGGAGACTTGGCATTTCAGACAATGGGGACAGCATGTCCAGAGCCCCATGGCAGAATGGAACATCCAAATCACCATTCAACTGAGTAAAAAACAAATCAGACAAACAGAGTAAAGGGGATATATGGTACCCCATATGAGCTTGGTTGGACACTTTCATTGAAAAATATTTGTTTTAGCATTGTCATCTTAGAATGATGTCCATGCAACCAAGAATGGTTGAGATATTTGTTCAGAAAAACTCACCAATGGAAAAATAGATTTCAAGAATATTCCATATTTATGTCTCAGCTCCAATGAATGAACTGCAGTTCAATATTGAAGGAAAATAAATTTTTTTGACTGAGAGTACAGTTTTTGCCCTTAAGGTAATAAGTAGCATGCAGTTGAAGAATGATTGTCTAACTTCCTTTCACAGAGAAGCCTTTCTGAAGAAGAATCTGGTGAAAGGATGGTAAGTCTGCTTTGATTTTGTTACAAACTGATGTCTCAACGATTTTCCTGTTAACTATTATTTAGAAATCAATTGAGGTGTCCCTTTTGTCATCATCACTGAGTCTATTTGCCTGCCTTTTGAAATACCCTCCTTGCCCAATTCTTTTTGGAAGCATTTCTAAAATTCAGCATTACAGTTTGAGCAGACAGGACAGATGTCACCAAGAGATTAAAACGTTTTTATTTAATGTAGTTTCACCAACTGTATATGTTCCATCCAAATGTATGTATTTATTCCAACTTAACAGTTTTGATTTAGAATATAGCACCTGACAGCTGTGGAGAACAAAATAGTGGCTATGGAAAAGCACCCTCAGACATGAGATGGCCCAGTCCCCTGAATGTTCAAAGTGGACCTTCTGGGGCTAAGGAACAGCCAAAGGAAGTGACTTATGTTGCACTTCCTGCTCTGAACTGACAATAACCACTGGAGGCTCACACTTAAGGGGAAGGGGAAGTCAATAAGGCTTGATTTTATCTTATCTTGAGATGTGCTTGGTTATTAACTAGTTGCAAGAGTTAATCTCACACAATAAAGTTTGGAGGATGAGAGCTAGTATTGAAAAAAGCAAGTCCTCTTAGAGAAAAAAGAAAAATCTAGTAGGCCACATAATTGCCATAGATCTGAAGAAGCTTATAGATCTCAGGCATATCCTAAGGTGTACATTTTTCATACCTTGCCTTTGAGCATGTGGACCTGCTGTGATTTTTTTTTTACACTGGGGCTGCCCTAAATTGATGGAGAAGTGTGGGAAAGGAGGTCCAGAGTGGGTACCATAATTGCACCACAATGCCCTCTCAAATATTCTGTCCCACATGCATCAATATTATCATAGCTCATTTTAATTTAATAAAATAAATGATGGAATAGTAATAGATGAGACTAAAGAAGGATGAGACTAAACATTTGGGGAGCTGCATGTGCCCTTCACCCCACAGTAGCCCGGCCAGAACTCCACTCTGAAGACATAGCCTTTCCCATCTGAGGCCTTCAATTCGAAATTATTTCCTGGATATTCTCAATCCAGTCTTTCTTTCCACAATCATTTTCTACTTGGATTTTTAAAAGAATTCTCTCAAAGTATCTCAAACCAAATTATTTTAAAACGAAAGCCAACTTCTTGTAGGTTGCTTCAAGAAGTTAGGAGACTGCTCAACAATACCTGAGTTATATATTCACCAATGCCCTAGAATTGCTCATAACAAGCAAAATATAATGAATGCTGTGAATATCATGTGTCTAGTGATGTTTTACATGATTTTCCTATGAGTAGTTATGCCTTCTTGCCAATTTCAGGAGAATGTTGATCAAGTAACTCTTTATAGCTATAAAGTCCAGTCCACAATTACTTCTCGTATGGCCAATACTATCATCCAGAGCAAACTGGTGAACAACTCCCCACAGCCTCAAGATGTTGTATTTGATGTCCAGATTCCCAAAGGAGCCTTCATCTCCAACTTCTCTATGTGAGTAGTTCCTCTGCAGAGCCAGAAAATGGATACTTACTGCTCTATTGAGAGATTCAAAAACCCTCATGAGAATGGTCCTTACTGGTCAGCTAGTCCAGTGGTTCTCACTTCCAGAGCTGTGGAGCTGCTGGATATCAAGAATCACTGTGGAATGTGCCCCCATTCTTTGTTTCTGTTCCAAGTATCAGAATTTGTAAAGGGTTTTTTATTGCTAATAAATTAAAGCAAACTTAATCTATGTGGTAACAACCTCTCACTTCCTTACATTTTAATATCCTTTATTTGGGGAAGAAAAATATATAAATTTGCCCTGCTTTATAGGAAACCATATAGGAGTGAGTGCAGTAAGTCAGTGCCATCTGCCAGATATTTGAGAATTACTGATTGAATCCAATCACTTATCCAGGGCTGAATTCCTCTATTATATCACTTAACAAGTGGATTGTCTGAGTTTGACTTGACTATTTCTTTAATGATAAACTCACTACTTCTCCAGGCAATCAACTCATGGTTGACAACTCTGTTAGAATTATTTCTAACAGAGTTAAATTATTATATATTATAGAGTTAGATTATTATATATTATAGTTATTTCTATTATGCTTAATTTAAATATTTTGCGTTTTTTACCCAATGATTCTAGTGTTCCTCCCATAGAATTTCTAAAAATTCTCTGCAAAACATATATTGAAGTACTCATGGATGAAATGATATGTTGTCTGAGATTGGCTTCACAAGAACTGAGACAGAAAGCATGGGAATAGAGACAAATTAAGATTGGCAGAGTATTGATAATGATGGTTTCTTGAAGGTCTCATACTGTTTTCTCAATTTTTAAATATATTTAAAATTTTCCGTAATAAAACAATTTTAAACTAATCCAATATCTTTCAAATATTTAGGGCCAGTTATCCACTTGGAGGGAGCATGACCAGCACTAAACATTCCCTGTTCCTCCAGGTGATCAGATGGTTTTCTATGCACTGTGCACCCAGGTGCCCATCCTGAGTACTGCCATGGACCAACGTCCCTTTTTGGTTCCCTAGAAAAGATGACAATACTCTGCAAATAGTTTATTGTTTATTCAAACATTAGCTTGGACTACTTCTAATTTGATTTTGTCTTTCTTAAGCCAGTGTAATCAATGATAATTGTGAATGAATAAAATCAAAGGTTTGTTAGCAAGCACTTTGCCTGCTAAAATCTGCAGATCCATGGTTTTTTTTAAATGGATAGAAAAAAGCATTATGCAAAGTGATATCCTTTTAATTGACTTAAAGATTTACAACTTTTTTAGTTGTTCTTTTCTAAAAAAGCAAATGGAAAGGGAAAAGTTTTCTGTAGCAGTATCATATGACATCGGGTCTATAAAACACTTTAAGCTAGTCATTTGAATTCTTATTTTTAAATCACATAATCAGAATTTATTGTAGGTATTGTTTCTGTTTTCCTTCCTTCTTTTTTTTTATTCCCCTAGAAGATTTGAGGTGACAAAATACAGAACTGTGAAACACATATTTATTTTGGTCTCCTTATGATCAGGGCTGAATATTTAAGACCCCAGAAGATAGTTGCTGTATTGTTACAATTTAAAATAAGCTGCCAAAATCTCCTCCATACCAGCCAAAACATGTCTTCTGCCTTTTTTATCAAGGCCCCAGATATTTTCCTTGGTCTTAAAGAATTGCTGGTCTTTGAGTCTTACTGTGATTTGATGGAAGAATGCAGGCCTGAAGCTGGGTCCTCTGGTTCTCACTTGGGTTCTGCCCTGTTGTGTTTTGACTGCTGTGTGACCTTGGCCGTTTGGCTCTCTGGGTCTGATGTCCCTCATCTAAAGGGGCAAACCTAGAAATGTGCCTCAATGCATGTGCTACTGTCATTTGGGAAGGAAACTTGTTCAAGGGAGCTGCCCCTTCCACCATGGGTTGTCTGGCATCCTTGGTGTCCTCCCACAAATGCAAACAGCACTTTCCAGGCACCGGAGCAAGCAAAATTTTTTCTTACATTCCTAAGTGCCTCCTTGAAGCAATATTGCCCATCTCAGCACTGTGAGGTCCCATGTGGCTCCAAAACTGTGTGACTCTGCTACTCTAACAAGCCATTGCTTGGTAAGGATTAGGTACTGCCAGCAAAAAGCAAGATGAGTAGAGACAGTGATGCAAAGAGAAGACAGAGTTCCCCAAGGAAGATGATACAGAGACAAACACAAACTTCCTGAAGGGATTCATCTGCACCTCCCTGCATCTGTCTGTATTTTTTTCCTACCCTTTCTGGAGAAGATGCTGCTTTGTTTTAGCCAGCTGGTGCTGTCATAAGAAAGTACCATAGATAGGTGGGCAACAAAAATTCATTTCCCATAGTTTGGGAGGCTTGACTGTCAAAATCAAGGTGCTGGCAGATTCAGTATCTGATGAGGGCTCACTTTCTAATTTAGAAAAAAGACATGGCTGTCTTTTTTGCTGTTCTCTCACGGTGGAAAGGATCAAGAGAACTTTAGGGGTTCGCTCTCTTTTTTTTTTTTTTTGTGGCACGGGGGATCAAACTCAGGACCTTGCACTTTCGAAGCAAGCAGGGCGCCATTGAGCTAAATCCCTGGCCCCAGGGGTTCTCTTTTATAAGGGTACTAATTCTATTTGTGAGGGCTCTGCTTCCTTGATCTAATTACCTCCTAAAGGCCACTTGTAACACCATCATATTAGGAGGTAAGATTCAACCTATGAATTTAGTAAGACACAAATATTTAGTCTACTGCATACCCTCAGGCTATGCCTATGGGGGGGGGGTTGTTGTTTTTGTTTTTAGTTCCTGGAGATCAAATACAGGGTCTTCAAGTTGAACTACATCCCTAGCCCTCTTTTTATTTTTTTATTTTGAGACAGTTTTGCTAAGTCGCTAAATTATCCAGGCTGGGCTCAAACATATGATCCTCCTTCCTTGGTCTCTCTGGAATGATAGGCATGTGCTACCATACTCAACTTATCCCTAATTTTAACTCACAGAAGAACGATCTAATGAAACAAATATAGGTTAGAGAATCAATGATTTATCAGTCACCTCTCCTAATTACATACCATTAAAAAGAGACACCCAAGAGAACAACACTTCATCTAATAAAATTTTCATAAGTGAAAGTTTAAACACACAACAGTACATAAGGATAAGATTTTAGGACGGGAGTCAACCTAGCCCTTCTCAAACCACACTGTCAGATAAAGGGAATCCCATCTACAAATTATTCGACTATCTCTCTTCTTGTTTCTTACAGATGCAAAATTGCCCCCATTCAATAAATCAACCATGCTGCATTGATTGCTTATTGTTTATTGCTAAGAGTACTATTCTGATCATCTGCCTGTGTCCTGTCTTTCTCTAGGACTGTAGATGGCACGACATTTACTAGTACCATTAAGGAGAAAACTGTGGGCCGAGCTCTCTACTCACAGGCAAGAGCAAAAGGCAAGACGGCGGGACTGCTGAGGTAAGGGACAGACAAGCAAGGCTTGTCATCTCATCTGCATTTGTCTTCCTCTCCTGTCCCATTCCCCCAGAGCAAACCCGCCTCCAGAAAGTCACTGAATCTAAACCAATGGCCAGCTCTCACAGTCAGATTACAGATTAGGCATCATAATTTCTGTTTCCCTAAAGGCCTTTCTTCTACCAGTGAGTCTGGGAGATTTCACATGGGTTGTGCTTATATTACTTTGCTTACAGGTAGATGGATGTTCTGTAAATAAATATTGATTTTTTTTTCTAAAAATGCAGAGAAGAACTACAGAAATACTTCATTAGTAACCTTGCGGCAAAACTTATGAAGTATACAGAAGAAAATGATTGGGATTTGTTCTAATGATTTCTTCTCCCTTATTTTTACGGGAGAGAGCCTTTGAAGGCATCAATTACTAAGCTTAGAGTCCAGCCGGGGTTTTTTTCTTTATAATCTTCCATAAGATACTGAAAATGCCCAAACCACGTCAAAAAGCAGGGTTTAAAGCAAGAAACTTCAAAGAAATCTTTGGCTAACCACTCCTTACACTGTACAGGTTGTTTCTGCCCAATTCTGCCATGTTTTTTCTTCTACATCCTCAAACTTAGCTCTAATTGAAGTTCTTTTCATTTTACTACTGCTTTTCATTCATTCAGCAAAAGTGCATCAAATCTTAACTCTGTACCCAGTTCTATTAGAAACAACATGCACACAATAATACTCTCAGACTTGGGGAGGAGACAGGCAAGAAAATGGTGACCGTTATATGGATAGTGGGCAAGTGCTAATGGAGAGTGAGTACACAACACTATCCATACCAAGTGTGAAATTCTGTAGCAGGGTCTGGAAAATCCCCAGAGGAGCAGATGTTTCAGCTGAGCCCAAGTAAATCCATGGGATTCAGCTAGGTGGAGAAAGGAAAGAAGAAAGTCCAGAGGGGACACTTTCAGCCTTTCTGCATGTTAACCAGTTATTTTAGTTGCAGGAATCACTTTGCCATATTTACCCATCATTTGGAAAAGTCCATCTATTCATTTAACCATCCCACAAACACTTCTCTATAACACAAACTCTTCTGGGCATTGACAATTTAGCAAAGAACATAGCTTACTTCCCAACCTGCTTCTCAGGTAAGCATGGCCCTCTCCTCAAAACTTAGCACCAGGCCACATTCTGCTTTTTCTTCAACTACCCAGTATTCCAAGCTGACTGCCTACAGTACAGTACTTCCCTTATCCCAAATAGGCTGATTATGCACTTGTTTACCTACTTCATTTTTTAAAATCTTTCATTGTTAATCATAACACCGTAATTGCCTTCACTGGATAATCCTGCTGTTTTCTTGGTAAAACCATGCATTCCTCAAGATCAATGTTCACACCCCATATACAGTGACAAAATAAGGCCTTACACTGGAAATACATATCCAACTTGAGGGAATAATAGAATTCTTCTCCCTAAAGACCTCCAAAAATATTAAGAATCCCTCAAGTCTCAAAATGTAGTGTAGGAAGTAAGTGCTGTCTTCAGAGGCATCTAGACTTGGATTTGACTCGTGTGGGGTTACTTGTCTTCTCTTAGCCTCTTTTTGGAAAATGAAGGTAGTGATTTCTGTCCTGCAGGACTGCTATAGCAGACATGATATATGTCTTGCTGCTGGCACAGACTAGGGACCAGTCAATGGCAGCTCTTGGTAGATGACACTGAAATAGGCAAGAAGCTCTGGAATCAACAGATAAGGGAGGAGACAACATGGAAATTCTTAGTAGGATTAAATTTATTTAGAAATTGCACTTCTAGGTATTTACGTCTATTGTACCTATTTTATGAAAAACTCAGCAGGTCTGATCACCCAGCATAAAGGCCAGATGCCCTCTCCCTAGACACTTGGTCTTGTAGTGTCCATGTGTGATGACTTACACTGGGGGATCCCACATTTAGGAGCAGAGCCCTTGACATGGAGAACTTCAAAACCGAGGTAAACATCCGTCCTGGAGCAAAGGTGCAGTTCGAGCTTCACTACCAGGAAGTGAAGTGGAGGAAGCTGGGGTCATATGAGCACAGGCTTCACCTGCTGCCGGGACGGCTGGCGAAACACTTGGAGGTGAGCATGGGTGTGCAGGGTGTGCAGCGATGCCAGTCCCTTTTAGTTCCTATCCCTGATTCATATTTTCTGTTTGTCACCCCTATGGAGCTCAATGTACCCAAGCCTGCAAAATAAGATGGTGCACTGAGAACATTTGGGTTCGAAGTCAACCATACCACTTCTTTCTGATTTCAACACCAGCTCAGCTCCTTAGTAGCTGTATGAGTTTTCTGGGGGTATTGCAACAAACAACCACAAACTGTCTTATTATCTTACAATCCTGAAGGACGGAAGCCTGAAATCAAGGTGTCAGCAGAGCTATTCTCCCTCAGGAGGCTCAAGGGGAGATTCTGTTCCTTGCTTCTTCTGGGACCCCACAACTGCTCAGGTGTCCTAGGCCACTAAATATGTGCTCCTGCTTAATTTTCCAGTAATGATGATGGCTGCCATATTCTCTCACTCAGTACTATGAATCCCATGGTGAATAGTATTGAGGGAGCAGCTTCAAGAGATTAGCACCTACCCTGTAATAAGGCTACTGTTGAGTTTGTTTGTAATAAATAATGGTAATAAAAAGCTAAGTAAAAGATATAAAAATATATACCTTCTATGATATCTAGGGGAAGTATTTATACCGATTATGTCATTGAATCCTCACCACAAAGTAGATATCATTACCTTTAGCTTACACATTTAGAAAGTGAGATTCAGTTAAATAACTTGCCTAAGGCCACAAAGCTAAGATGTAAGGTTTTAGCCTGGGCCTGACTGCACTATAAAACTGCATTCTAAGAGCTGGGGATTTAGCTCAGTGGTTCCACCCCCTGCCTCACAAACACAAGGTCCTGAGTTCGATCTCTGGTACCAAAAAAGAAAAAAAACAAAAAAAACACTACATTCTAAGGTATAAGTCAATGCAGATAAGGACTCCTATTGCACATATCAGGTAGCACAAATGACCAGTACATTTCTGATATTTTTATTCACCCTTAAATCTTCTATGCTCTTAGGAAGTCCTCCTTTTTAAGTAGTAAAACATAGTTAGCTACAATGAGAAAGAGTTAGTTAGATACAGAGGCAAGTTTCTTGAGTTTTGTTTAGAACTGGTAGTTACTGAGCCAAGTACTTGCTGAGATCTGGACAGTAATTTACTTTAGACCTCTCTGGACTCAATTTTCTCATCTATGAAACATGAAGTTTCAACTAGAAGATCTTTAAGTTATTTTCCAGCTTTAACTTTCCATGGCATTTACTCATTTCCAAAGACATTTGCTCAAAATTCAGTAATAAATTCAAGATAGCCGGGGATTTAGCTCAGTGGTTCCAGTGCCTGCCTTGCAAGCACAAGGTCCCAAGTTTGATCCCCGGTGCAAAAAAATAAAACAAAACAAAAATAAATAAATTAATTAATTAAAGATAAAACATAAGATTATAGACCTTCTTCTTTTCTTTATTTCACAGGAGGTTTCTAATCACCATCAAAAGAGGCACTGAATTGAAAATACTTTTCACTCACAGAAACCAAGGAGAATAGCAGCTGGGGATTTAGCTCAGTGGCACTGTGCCTGCCTTGTAAGCACAAGGTCCTGAGTTTGATCCCTGGTACCCCCAAAAAAAGAAATCAAGGAGAATAACAATTCTTTTTGGAACTTCCTTGACATTATCAAATTTGGGGAATGCTTTTGTTCCAACAATTGTCTTCCTTGGAGAAAGACCAAAAATATGTTGAGCAAGTCAAGGCCATCAAAGGCTGGTCCTGGCCTCAGGGCCTCAGACACACATCCCAAATGGTCAGTGTCCCAGTGGGTCCTATGGTATTTTAGGGCTGTGTCTGTATCAAAGGAAACTCAAGACTGCTAAGAGCTAGGAGAAATTCCTTCCATTTTCATCTTCTCATAGAGACAATGAATCTTGTCCTGAGGACCCCACTCCATTTATAGGTAGACTGTTGTGGAAGAATAAAGCAGAGGCCCCAGTTCTCTGAAACTTCCCTGGGCTTTTCCAAGAGCCTCTCCATTATCTATTGTGATATCTGGGTCAGACTCTCCCAAGGCTTTTGGTTCCCCTGATCCTGCAGGCAGCTCATGACAACATGGAGGGCCAGTTGATCTTTTGGAGATAACAGAAATCTATAAGATTGGTTACATTCACATCCTATACTGGGATTTGTAAAAACCGAGAAATAAAATGTCGAATCTGCTCAGACAAGTTCCCATGACTTTAGGAAAGCATAGTTTTTAACACACACACAAAAATTTTTTTTTGGTACTGGGGATCGAACTCGGGTCCTTGCACTTGCACAGCAGGCAGCAAAACCACTGAGCTAAATCCCCAGCCCAAAAAATTTTTTTTGAGATAGAAAAAACAGGCATGATTCCAAAGCAGGTACTTTTCAAAGGGAAGTTGGTCATCAGGGTTGCAAATGGTCCTAAGTGAGGAAGAGGCAGTAAGAAAACCAGTTTGTGTACTAATGTGAGTACCAAGCACTGTGTCATGATCTCCCATTTAAATGAATGTATGCAAAGCATGGAGGGGAATGGCATGAAAAAAAAACAATATTATAGCATGAGCCCTAAAGAAGAAGTGTGTCAATGTTAATCAAAAATATGGGCCTGGGGCTGTTAAAAGTAAAAAAAAAACGGTGTCTGATATACTAAGAGCTTAGGCCCTGGGTTTGAATCCTGCCTCTGCCATTTACTAGCTGGGTCATTCTGATTCTCTGCTTCTTCATCTGTAAAATAAGAAATAACACATAATACATTAGTCAGAGTGAAATGAATTAATAAGTACTTAGCACAGTACTTAAAATATAAGAAGCATTCAAGAAATAACAGTTGTGCCAGGCATGGTGGCATATCCCTGTAATCCCAGCACTTGGGAGGCTGAGGCAGGAGGATCACCACAAGTTCGAGGCCAGCCCGAGCTACATAGTGAGTTTAAGACCAGCCTGAACTACATACTGAGACTCTGTTTCAAACAAACAAGCAAACAAACAAACAAAAAAGAAATAGCAGTTGTGACTATGGTTTCATCAAGTATCACTAAAAAGGATTTCTCTTTGTTGAGCTTTGTTTAAAGAAAAAAGACAGAGAAGGAATAAAAAAGGCCCATGATATAGGAAAAATATCTATTTTGACAGATCTACAGAGAAAATGCAGTATAATTTAACAATGGCTTTCCTTCTTTCCCTAGCAACATAGATGGTCTTAAAAATATAAATTGGATCTGGGAATGTAGCTCAGTGGCAGAGCATTTGCCTAGTATGTGTGAGGCCCTGGGTTTGACACCCAGCACCACCAAATAAACAATAACAACAAAACAAAAGTAATAGACTAGAATGAAGAAGATCCATTTTGTATTACTATAATACCTGAGACTGGATATTTATAGGCAAAGAGATTTACTTGCCCTGTGGTTCTGGAGGATGGAGGGTCTGAACAGCATGGCACCAGCACCCTGAGAAGGATCCCCTTTCACAGCATGGTAGAGAAACAGAAAGAGAACCAGCTGTATGCAGAAGGGGGAAATCACACACAATGGCCTCGCCTCATAACAATGCACTCTCTTGTGAACCAACTGGGTCCTGCAGACCAGCATCAATCCCTCCCAGGGTGGTGCCCCATGACCTGATTACTTTGCCTCAGACCCCACCTCTAAAGGTCCCACCACATCAACACTGCCACACGTGGGACCACAATTCCATGAAACTTTGGGGGTCACATTTGAACCCATATCCAAACTATAATAAATGGGAATTGAATCCTGGTGAAATAAAGAAATGGACTATACTGAGTTTCTAGGAAGAGATCAAGTTTCCGTCACATCCCAGGGAACTTAAGAAGTGATCATGGAAGATTTGGGGATGAAAAAAGCCTTGGATGATTTATTACTCATTTTATTTCTTGCCTAAACAAACTTTTTTTTTTGTATGGGGAATTGAACTCAGGACCTTGTGCTTTCCAGGCAGGCATAGCACCACTGAGCTACATCCTATCCTAGCCCTTTAAACAGACTTTTAACTCTGTAATTTTCTTTCCCATCTCTAGGTGGATGTGTGGATAGTTGAACCTCAGGGAATGAGATTTCTTCATGTTCCTGACACATTTGAAGGCCATTTTGATGGTGTTCCTGTGATATCTAAAGGACCCCAGAAGGTACCATAATCACTGCATGTTTCCAGCCATCCAAGCAGCCACAAGCTCCTATGCTCTGGAGAATAAAGACATGGTCTGGTGTTGGTCTGAGGGCACTATCAAGGACCAGTGATCCTTAGGAAGAGTCTAGGATCATTTACCAAAGATATAAAACAGTGTTCCCCATTGTTTCATTCCATTTGGGCCAATGACTCCCACTTTTGAAACCTCACTTTTCCCTAGTCATCTACTTGACAGTAGCTGATGACAACTTTCACATAATATATAGTGCATTTCCATGAATCATAGCAAGAATTATTCAGTTGAATTCTTTCTGCCTTAATGGTCAATGATAAGACACTGTAAGTCAAACTTCTCTGAGGACCCTTCACAAAATTTCTCCAGAGCTGGTGGCTATCCCTTCCTTGAGGCATGGGAGAGATTCTTTGAATCACTTTTTTAAAGGCCTAAAGTGTGACAGTCAGTCCCCTTCAGTGCCCTGGGTCTGTTCTTTCCACCAGTAACAGGCTTAGTGATGCTGGTGCGAGCCACAGAGGCCACTGGGCAGCGCCCTTCACCTCTGTGCATAAGCAAGTGCAGCCACCAAGCCCTCCACTAGCAGGGACTTCAAGCTGAGGACAGATTCTGACGTTCCTGCTCCTTTCAGGCACATGTCTCCTTCAGGCCCACAGTAGCACAGCAAAGAAAATGTCCCAACTGTTCTGAGACTGCAGTGGATGGAGAGCTGGTGGTGATGTATGATGTGCACAGAGAAGAGAAGGCTGGTGAGCTTGAGGCAAGTGTCGATGGTCTCTGGTAGAACTGCCAAGCCAAATCCAAGGAAACTCCTTGTTGAAAGAACTCCCTGCTCTATGGTTGTTTATAGCTGCCAAGGCAAGTGTCAAAGCTACAGAGCAGGGACTAAAATCCTATTTCTTTACTATGCCACTAAGCATTATCTTTTGTGTCATAAAAACTAAATGAAGGTTCATTCAGTCTGGTGTTAGTCAGCTTTCCTTCACTATAACAAAATATCTGAGATAACTTATAAAGAAATAAGGTTTATTTGGGCTCCTTGTTTTAGAGGTTCATGACCAGTTGAGCCTGTTGCTTTTAGACCTCTGGCTAAAAGGCTAGATCACAAAAGCAGGAAGCACAAATGAGAACAAACTGATCACCTTATGGGCAGGAAGCAAAGGAGAGGAAAAGGGAGAGGCTAGAGGCTCACTATTTCCCTCGAGTGCACTCTCAATGACCTAAGGACCTCCCACAACGCCCCACCTCCTGAAGATCCACAGCACTTCCCAATAGTACCCCAAGGAACAAGGTTTAACACATGGGTCTTTGGGGGACACTACCAAAGTTCAAACCTTAGCAGGTCTTGTGCTCCTGTTCCAGAAGGACATTTCCAGACCTCCTATGAAGAACTATAGAAATTACAAACTGGACTTTCTGGATAACTTTCTAAGCCCCTTTGCAATTAGATGATCAAGGAAAAACACAGAGATGATGGGGTGAGGAAGAAGGCACAACCAAAGTCCAGAGGAAGAGAAGAGCTAGTGGTGAAATCAGGGTCGATGTTTATTGTGAGATTCTGCTCAGATTTTCCTTTCTGCCGTTGCCACGTCTAAGATATGTCTCCATCTCCCTTGTGCTAAGGTGGGAACTCCTACAGTGTATCCAAAAAACCTGTGAGGCTCTTCAGGAACAGCATGTAAAGAAGTATATCGGAGGCTACAGCCACATACCCTGCATCTGAGAACTGTAGTGTCCAGGATAGAATGAACCAAAGGGCCAAGGAAAGAAAATTAGGCTGCCAGTCATTGGAAGACAAAGAGGATGAGTGGGAATCTAGCTGGATGGCCCTCCACTAACTTTGAGAAAAATCCAAATTCCCTAAAGTATCACCAAAGGGTCCTTTGTGAACTGTCTTGCTCAATTTCTACTGAATGTCTTGGATTCTTGAGTTCTATGGCCCCATCTTGCTGAACCACTTAGAAAGCCCCAAGTGTGCCATATTCTTTCATCACTGTCTGGAATTCTCCTCCCCACTCCTACAACCCAACCCAGCCCAACTCCCACAATGGCAGGCTAACTCCAGGCACATCCTTAGGTCACAATGTAGATGCTATGTCTCTGGGGAAGACACCCTCATCTGAGTTAGATGCTGCTCCATTGGAGTCTCTGAGAGCCCTGTACCTTCCTAATCATGGCATTTGACACCCTATGCTTCAAATACTTTGGCTTGTCTGTGTCCTCAACTGGCTGTGAGTCCCATAAGAGCAGTGACTCAGCCTGCTTTACAGTTATTTACAAGGGTAGAAACGGAGGCTTGAGATAAAGTCTACATGAAGCAGAATGGCATGGAGTACAATGGAAACTTTGCCAACAAGGCTTAGAACCTCACAGCAGAGGAACAAGGACCAGCAGCAGAAGAGAGCAGCAGGAGAGACTGACCTGCCTCTAGCTTCCACCTCTCTTCTCATCTAAGGGTGTCCTGCCTCCTTTGTCCATCACCCACTTCTGCTCTCGTTTTCCCCAGGTCCCCATTCCCTACCTTCTAGACATTGGTCAATGATCCAACTCACATATATATTCTATTTTCAGGTATTCAATGGATATTTTGTCCACTTCTTTGCTCCTGAGAACCTGGACCCCATTCCCAAAAATATCCTTTTTGTCATTGACGTTAGTGGCTCCATGTGGGGAATTAAGATGAAACAAGTAAGTACTACCTTTTGGGAAGTGGTCGGTGGGACCTTCCTTCTTCTTTGATCCTCTTTAACAATGCAATAGTCCATCGCTGTTGCCCTTTGAGATAAAACTCAGCAACTGTTTTTACTGCTTGAGGGTGCAAACTCTTCCAAAGCTGTGACATTATCTTTTGCTCTCTGGATATATGCCCCTATTATCCCTTCCCTGTAAATTTTCCTTCCTTCTCGTGTCCCTGTTTCCTGGTTCCTCTTCTCTCTCTTCATCCCTTTTCTATTCTGTGTCCAATATTTCCCTGAAAAATCATTTCTCAGCTCACCTCTTTGAAGTCTCATCTCTGTATAACCTCTTCTCACTCTGATCACTTTTCTGTGTCTTAGTCTTTTGGTTCTCCTGCATAATATTTTACTTTACTATCATCTCATTACTCACAAGTAACTTTTAAATAACCATATGCATGTCTTTTAAATTATATCACAATTCCTTGAAGTTTTGGCTCTCTTGTCCCATGTCTTCCAGTTCAGAGTTGAGTGTAGGTTTATTCAGTGAACAGTAGCACAGAAGCAAGTCTAAAGAATAAATCAGAAAAATAGCCAGCATGGTGGCACACACCTGTAATCCCAACACACGAGAGACTGAGGCAGGAGGATCGAGAGTTCAAGGCCAGCCTGAGCTACATAGCAAGACCACATCTCAATGAAATAAAAACAAAACAGAATAAATAGGAAAAATTCCCACTGATCCATATATTCAGTCAGTTTGAATAATCAAATAACTATTTCTGCCCTCAACAACTTTTTTTGATACTCAGATGTTTACTACCATTCTCGGATCTGTAAGGACCCCAAGAGAAGTCCATGTTTCTCAAAGGCCATGCCCATCAGTATTGGTACCCGATATAGGGTTTCTCAGGAGTGAGCTATTGATATTTTGGATGGGATCTTCTTTGTTGTGGAACTGTTGTACTATGCACTATCGAATGATGAACATGATCCCTGGCCTGCCCACGAGATTTCAGTAGCACAACCTCTCCTCCAGCCATGACCATCAAAAATGACTTCACACCTGGTCTGGGGTTCCCTGGGGAAGTAACTGCCTAGGAAAGAACCAACACTCTGAAACAGTGGTTTATTCACTGCTTCCTTCCTTCTTCTATTCAACAAGTATGTGTGAAGCAGTTATTATGTGTCGGGTTCTTAGCTCATCAGTGAATAAAATAGACCAAAAGTATAAAAATAAACAGCAACAAGCAACAATACTCCCCCCTCCCTTAGCCAGAGGAATCAGCTATGAAGTTCCCCACCAGAGTGGGGTGACAGGACTTTGCAATAACCTGGTACATATGTTATAACAAACTAGAAGAGGAGCTTGAAGGCTCCAAACACAAGGAAATGATAGAGATTGAAATCTAACTACCTTGATTGGATTAGTGAAGGCTGTATGCAGGTTTTGAAATATCAAAGTATTACATGTTAGTGAAAATATTTAAAAATGTAAAACCTCACCCCTGCCCTCATGGACCTTATAGAATTTACATTCCAGAGGAGGAAAGGAGCAGAGAATAAACAATACACATAATTAAGTTTTAAAGGATGTCTAATGGTGGATTATTATTAAAAAGAGGAGTATATTAGGAACCAATTACAGGCAGATGCAATCTTAATTTTGTAAGCCATCTGGGCATGGTGATACATGCCTGTAATCTCAGCACTCTGGGAGGCTGAGGCAGAAGGATTACAAGTTTGAGCCCAGGATGGACAACTTAGCAGCTTAGTGAGACCCTGTCTCAAAATTTAAAACAAAAAATGTAAAAGACCAGGGATATAGCTCAGTATGAGGGCCTTGAGTTCATTTCCCAGTACTGAAAAAAACAGATTTGCAAACTAAATAGATAGCTTCATTGATAATTTTTTGAAGAAACCCATGGAAGGCAAAAAAGAGCCATCCTAGCATCTGGGGGAAGACCAATGTAGGTGGCAGGAACAGCGGCTGCGATAGTGCTAAGCCAGAAATGTTCCACGGAAGGGCAGAGAACAGAGAGCAGGCCCAGGGACAGAGGTGGGAGGTGTGTACTGAGAAGTAAAGGGTGGGGCAGGTCACACAAAATCTGCAGGTCACAGTCAGAGCTTTGGCCTTTACAGTACTTAGGGATAGACAGCTGCCACTGAGCAGAGGGTTTGAATAAAGGACTGTCATGATCTGATGTGTGCCAAAGGGTATCTTTGGTTGCTCTGTTGAGAACAGACTGTTACAGGCCCAAGGGTAGGGGTAGAGAGGCCAGAAAATGACCATTGTAATAGTCCAAGCACTTAAGCATAGTATCTTAGACCAGGGTGGCAATTATGGATGTGGTAAGAAGTGATTCAATTCTGAAATCTGTTTTGAAAGTAAAGCAAATACTGTTTTCTGGAGGGCTTTGAGGTAGGAGGAGAAAGAGGGTGGAAAGATAGTCCTAGGTTTTAGCTCAGCAATTAGAAGGAAGGATGCAGTTTGCCCTCAGTGACTGGAAAAGACAGACAGAATCAAACTTTATGGGGCATACGGGATTTCTTTGAAGCATGTTAAGACTGAGATGCTATTAAACATCCAGATGGACCTGTCAAGGAGGATATTGTCTGTACAATGCTGGTGTTCAAAAGTGAGACATGGAGACAAACAACTGGAAGTCGCCAGTGTGTAGAAGGTATTGCCAGCCCTGAGACGAGATGGGTATACTAAGGCATCGATAGAGAAGATGCTGAACAACAGAGCGTGCAGCATCAAGATCTGGAAGAGAAGAGGGGTTCCAACAATGGCAATTAACAAAAAGCAACTAATGAGAGGTGGAGAAAAAATCTTGAAGACAAAATGAGGAAGTTGTACTAAGGAGGGAGTGTGCAGCTGTTCCAAATGCTGGTGACAGCATGAGTCTGAAGAGGAACTGGGATAGTCCACTGGATTTAGCAACATCAAGGTCTTTGATGACCTTCCCAGGGACAGTTTCAGTGGAATGATGAGGATGAGCATCTGAAATGCAGTGGGTTTAATAGAAAAGATTGGAAGCCCGCGTGCTTAGGCAATTCATTCCAAGGATATATTGAAAGAGAAGCTGAGAAAGTGAGTACAAATGAGGTTTTTAAAAGAATGAGAAAAAATAAAATAAAAAAATAAAAGAATGAGAAAGTGCAGCTTTTTTATGCTTATGGAAATGCATCAACAGAGGAGATGGATTAAGAAGCAAAGGACAATTGCTAGAGTCATGATTTTCAATAGATGGGAAAGAATGAAACTTTGTATTAAATGAATTTGCATTAAGTAGAACTACTGCTGGTTGCTCTGTACTACATTACAGGAGGAAAATGTGTGTGGGTACAAATGCTGCTAGCTGAAGTTTTACAGTTGTGGGAGTTTATGGAAATTTTCTTCTGATTGCTTCAGTTTGGGAGGAAACAAGAATTGAGATCATCAGCTGAGAGAGAGAAAAGGAAGTGAATCGTTCAAGAAGAAAGAAGACAGGCTGGGGAATTTAGCCCAGTGGTTCTGCCACCTGCCTCACAAGCGCAAGGTCCCAAGTTTGATCCTCGATACAAAAAATAAAAAGAAGAAGAAGAAAGGAGACATGAAAAAGTAGTTGAAATTTTTCAAATATTTGATTTTCAAGTATTCAACACAGCTGAAGTTTGCGCTCCTTAAAATAGGACTAGTCAAACTGGTTGTGCATTTTTTTAAAAAGAGTAAAAATTTAAGTTAAAAAAGTGAACAATATGTGTTCAGAATATACCAGGGATAGGTCTGCATTAACCAAGGTGGGTTGTTGAGGTCTTTTTGGAAGAAGTTTAGCTTGAGTCAATAATGGGAGGATAAGTAGGATCAATGCTTGATCTCTTAGTTTCTTCTAGGCTCAGAGTTTGTGTGATGAGACCTTTCAAAATCTCATTTGTAATAGACTGTAGAAGCAATGAAGACCATATTGGATGACCTAAGAGCAGAAGACCAATTCTCTGTGGTTGACTTCAACCACAATGTTCGAACCTGGAGAAATGACTTAGTTTCTGCTACTAAAACACAGATTGCAGATGCCAAGAAATACATAGAGAAAATCCAGCCCAGTGGAGGTGAGTGGGTTTGGCCTAAATCCTTGTAGCCCAAATGTTGGCTCACTTAAGAATCACTGTTCCTGGGCCAGGGATTTAGCTCAGTGATTCCGCCGCTTGCCTCACAAGCGCAAGGTCCTGAGTTCGATCCCTGGTACAAAAAAAAAAAACCCAAAAAAACAATCATTGTTCCCCGCCACAGTGATCTTTGATCAGTCTGTAATGGTCTACCCTAAATAACACATTTCTTGGTAGATGATGAATACTGTTTGTGGTCAAACTAAAATGTGTAATCCCATCTATACAAGTTTTTAACCATTCCCATTTTTTATGGAGAAGTAAGTGACATATCTGCCTTTTTATTTTCACTTGCATAGCATGAAATGTAACTGTCTTCAGAGTAAGTCAGCTAAGCTGATTTAGATATCTTAAAGTGGGTGTTTCACAAAATGACAAATAGGTGCTTTGAAGGGCTTCTTTATTTCCAAGGGGATAATTTAAATAATTTACTTCACTGGTGGATCTTGACCAGGCAGAGCAAAATTTACTTGGAAAGCAATCAAATGACTTTAATATTGAGTAAATTATGCATCAATAATCACCAGACAGACCAACTTGAATCCAAGATGTGAGTGTGTGTGTGAAAAGAAAGCATTTGCAATGACACATTGTATCACTTTCACAGGCACAAATATCAATGAAGCACTCCTGCGGGCCATCTTCATTTTGAATGAAGCCAATAACTTAGGACTGTTGGACCCCAACTCAGTCTCTCTGATCATTTTGGTTTCTGATGGAGATCCAACAGTAGGCAAGTATCACTTCAATTTTCCCATGACAAATATTTTTACTATTGTTTCTTAGAAATGTGATTTGCTTAAAATGAGCACTCTGATGACATTTGCCTGAGTTTCTAAAATATTTAAGCCAAAAATATTTTGGCCTGAGAGGACTTATCCCCTATTTAGTCAGCTTTCTGTTGCTCAGAAAAAATACCTAACATATACAACTTAAGAGAGGAAAGTTTTATTTTGACTTGTGGTTTCAGAGGTTTCGGTCCATGATAGGCTGGCTCCAAGGCAGAAATGGCATGGGAAGACTGTGGTGGACAAGAACTACTCACTGCACAGCAGCCAGGAGGCAGAAAGAAAAGGAAAGAGCCAGAGATGAAGAGACCAGAAAACAGATACAGTCCCAAGGCCACGTCCCCATCATCTACTCTCTTCCACTAGGTCCCATCTCCTAAGTCTCTGTCACCTCCCAATAATGACATCAAATTATGATCCTATGGATCCTATGGGTGATCCATGGTCCAGAAAGAGTACATTAATGAGAAAATGAATGAAATTTGAAAATGACTGAAGATTAGTGAAAAAATTATGATCTTAACAATGAATTAATGAAGTTAGAGTCCTCATGATCCAATCACCTTCTAAAAGATCCATATGAGACTTTTGGGGGACATTTTAGATGTAAACCATAACATAATCTAAGTTAGTGCCCAGACATCTTCAGTAGTGCTTTGAATGCCTCGCTTTCCTCTGCACAATGGGGAGAAAGTTGAGTTTGATTTATAATAGTTTGTTGTTAGGATTTGCTGATGCCTACTAGCAAAATGCATTTATTTCCTCAACTTTAGATAAGGAGATATGGGAGCTGTGAAGGATGAGTACCTACCCCAGCTCTCTCAATAGCACCTGCAAAGGCCACAGTAACATGTTCTCTCTGGTCCACTTTTCTCCCTGTTTCAACCGGAGAAATCACTGCTCTCTGACACAGCCTTTAAGTTAATCATTTTTCTTATTCACTAAAACAGCTTCTAGCTTCTAACATCTCCTAAGTTCTATTATCTACATTTATTTTTATTTGTTGTATTGATGTCTTTACAGTGACAAATATAAATAATAATGGATATTAGATGAGATCGCACGAGTTTGTCATGTGAATGTGTCTAACCTGGGCCTGACCTGCCCAAGCAGAAGAACTAGTGCAGGGATAATAATGATTACAGGAGTTTCAGAAAGACAAGAGCAACCCTTTTATTAATAGTGAGACCAACATGAGCAGTTTTCAATATATTTGTTGCAGATCCAATGCTTTTCTCTTTCAGATAAGATAAATTAAAGTTCGCTTCTGGATAAAATCATGAGGAAGAAAAGGAAATGTGGTTTTTAAAAATGAAGTATCCTTTACTCCTGTCCCTTAACCTTACAGTTCCTGTCTGTGCCAGTCACCCGTAGCCAGTTTCCAGGGAGAGTTCATGCACACTTGTATTACTCGGTAAACCTCTTGATACATGGACGTACGAGATGTGATCCAAAACAAATATGTCTCTTATTACAACGAAAGGCACATTGCTATTAATTGCTCTCAAAATACTCTCCCTTTCTTTAAACACAGTTACTCTATCATTCTCGCCACTTTCTGAAGCAGTTCTAGAAGTCCTCTTTCATGAGCATCTTTAGTTATGCTGTCATGGCTGCCTCAATGTCTTGAATTGATTCAAAGCATTTACCTTTCATGATCATTTTGGACTTTGGGAAAGAGCCAGAAGTCACATGGTGTCCAGTGAATAAGGCACATGTAATGTTTTTTATGAGCCTGCCTTTCTATTGGACAGCACTCAGCAGCAGCATTTATCACAACTCCAACAAGTCCAAAGGACTTTTCCTAAAAGTCCAAACAGGACTTCCAGAATAGCTTCAGAAAGTGGCAAAAATGATGAGATAATTGTGTTTGAAGTGAGGGGAAATATTTTGAGTGGGATGAATGGCAATGTGTCTTTTACTGTAATAATGTTTTTTAATTTAAACATTCACCTTTTCATTTAAACATTTATCCATCACACCTTGTAGTTTATGCTTACCTGTATTACTCTACATACACACTGGTACATATACATATGTATGTACATGTACGTACATTCATATGTGTATATATATGCAAATACCTCCTTATACACCCATTCTTTTGATTTTTTTTGCCATTAAAAAAATGTATCTTTCACTTACAATTCCAGCTATTCAAGAGGCTGAGAAAGTAGGATCACAAGTTCAAGGCTAGCCTGGGCAACATAACAAGGAACCATTTAGGAAAAAAAGTGTTTTTTGATGGAGAACAGCCTGAATAACATGAGATCTTTTTTAAAAAAATAGAAAAAAGTGAAATTATTCAATATAAACATGTAAAGAGTTACTGGGTTCTTCTTAGTAACTGCATACTTTTTCATTGTTTAAATTAACCAATCTCTCTTATTGGGGTACATTTAAGTTGTTTCCAGTATGTTGCTAGGAACCATTACCCATACTTCATTTCCACATGTATGAGTGCTTTGTAAGAAAAATTCCTAGAGTTGAGTTACTGGGTCAAAGGGCAAGTAAATTTTTAATTTGAATAATTTTTGCTAAATGATTCTCTCTGGACTTTCCAAAAACTTCTTAACATTTGTTCCTCATTTCTTTCCCTTCTGTCATCACCAACTTCAGGTGAATTAAAATTATCAAAAATTCAGAAAAATGTGAAGCAGAATATGCAAGACAATATCTCCTTGTTCAGTTTGGGGATAGGATTTGATGTTGACTATGATTTTCTGAAGAGACTCTCCAATGATAACCGTGGAATTGCTCAAAGAATTTACGGAAACCAGGATACTTCTTCCCAGCTCAAGGTAACAGGTTCTATTTCTTTCCCACCTTACTAGAACTATCCATATCTGGTGCCTGAAAGATGAGTTTAATTCAAAATGCCATCATTTCAGCTATAGCCAGTTGTAAGAATCTGAGAAGTGTTTTATTCCTTTCCCACACATTTCCCTTCACCCCCTGTATTGCTGCACTAAGGGTGAGATGGGAAGAGCAAGGCCTGGGGCACGCGCATTCTTACCCCTAAACAGCAGGGTCTTCTGAGACACTATCCAGCTTCTGCTGGCTCCCTCTACCTCCTCGACCAATTGCTCTTCCTGTTATCATGGGCACCTGTTTTCCTTTAAATAAAAAAAATGTTCCTTAAATAAAAAATAAATAAATAAAGATACAAAGTACTTGCTAATTTTAATTAAATGAACCAAAAAATGATGCCAATGCCAGGCATCATATTTAAAACTGGAGATAGGAAAGGGATAAGTTTCTAATTTGGGGAATATTAACCCAACTGATTTTTATTATTATGAGTATCCATAATATTTTTAAGGCTGATCATAACAGAAATGGGAAATAATGTTTGGCTCTTAAGTCAAGGGTGGTGTTTTAACAAGTTGTAACCATTTCTGTGTCTCAGTTTTTCTTAACTAAATAATTATAAGTATTCTTTCCTGTCCCCTAGATTCATAAGTATAACTTAAGAGGTATCTGGTAAGCATGTGAAAAAACTGAGAGGAAAATGCTTTAGATCTACCACGTGATATGAAAATAATTATTTCTCTGTGTTTTTTTTCTTTCCTTCTCTTTTTGAACTGTAGAAATTCTACAACCAAGTATCTACTCCCCTGCTCCGGAATGTTCAGTTCAGCTATCCGCACACCTCAGTAACAGATGTCACTCAAAACAGTTTCCACAACTATTTTGGAGGCTCAGAGATTGTGGTGGCAGGAAAATTTGACCCAGCTAAACTACAGCAATTAGGAGGCATTATCACTGCAACTTCGGTACTTCTGCTTACTGCTTTATCCTAAAAGTACAGTGGTGCCTTGGTTCATGAACTTAATTCCCTCCATGATCTGGAGAAAGTGGCCATGGTCGTGTTCATCACCCGATGCAGAGTTAGCAAACAAAATCAAAATTTTGCCAAATGCTTCTGTTTGCGGACCACATTATCTGCAAACAAAAGCATTCATGAACTGAAGTACTACTAACTGGTCCTCTGAAATACAGTGGATCCTGCATGTTTACAAGAGAATGGTCCGCATCCCCAGAATGGCCCGCATCCCCAGAATGGCGTGTGTAGAATGGGAGCAGCAGGTGAAAGAGAAGGCATGAGACCCTCTGCCATCTTCCCAGCTATTCTGCAAATCCTCTTTTTCACTCAGCCCAAGCCCGCCTCTGGAGGATGCACTTTTTTCTTCCGCTTCCTCTTTTATCAGTATATTTTTATTTAATTGGTATATGTTAGCAATACATACTAATTGCATTTGGAAAATTGACATATATATGTATGTATATGCATGTATATACAGTATTTTGATTGTTTTCAGTACCTTTTCCTCCCTTTATTTACCCTCTCTTCTCTTCCCCATTTCCAAGAAGTCTGTTTCCTACCATTCCTCCCTTTTTTACTCTTTAAAACAGACCTCTAGCAGATAATATAACTGAAACAGTAATAAAAACTCCCATTTCTTTTATATTCTCCAAAGGTACGTAGTGCCCTAATTCACTTACAGTAGATACTAAAACGTGAATTGATTAAACAGCTCTGCTCCATCAGCATCCTGCAACTGAACCTTTCCTGTCTAGGCTAGCACAGATTTGGTCCTGGAAACCTTGGCCCAGATGGATGACTTGGAGGATTTTCTATCAAAAGACAAGCATGCGGACCCTGATTTCACCAGGAAACTGTGGGCCTATCTAACAGTCAACCAACTGCTGGCTGAGCGGTAAGGCCAGAAGAGTACCACAGGGATTTGCAAAAGTAAAATGTTCACCTAGAATATTTGAGGTCATGCACAGAATGAGTTTGAAACCAAGAAAGGAAGCCAATTAGCCCCAAATGGGATTATAGGTGGAGACCTACAATCCCAGCACTTTGGGAGTCTGATGCCAGAGGGTGACAAATTCAAACCCAGTCTGGGCAACTTGGCAACATGAGACCGTCTCAAAATAAAAAGTACAAAAGGGCTGGGTATGTACCTCAGTGCAAAGGCTCTGTGTTCAATACCTAGTAGTGGAGAGAAGGGGGGCGGGGGCGGGGAGGAGAGAAAGAAAAGGAAAGTTAATATAATACTTCAATTATTTACTTCTGTTGGTTCCCACAACTTCAACTAAAGCTAAATTAACTCTTTTTTTTTTAATTAAGGTATAACATTCTTAAAGTGTGTGAAGTGTGTTAATTTTAATGAACTATGCTTGGTGGTACATGCCTATATCTTCAGCACTTGAGAGGTTAAGGCCAGAGGATTGCCATGAGTTCGAGGCCAGCCTGGGATACATAGTTAGTACAAAGCCAGTTTGAACTACATCATGAGAACTTGTCTCAAAAAAAAAATTACATATATATATATGATTTGTTAAAGACATACGTATTTAGTAACTGTCAGACTTAAAATCAAGGCTCACTGTCAGACTTACAACCCACTGCTCAGACTTATGATCCATCTTTTTTTTGTACAGTTCTGTACATCTTGTTTATAGATCCTCAATGCCTTTTTTGTACAGTAAACCTTATTTATATAATTCTGTAATGTTTGCTGATTGTACTGTACAGCACAGTACAGTGTTGCATGTAAGAGTTATACAAATAAAAGCAAAGTAATCAAGTTGAAGTTTTCTTTAACCATCTCTTTGTTCTGAATACTATAATGTATGTGCTATATACAATTCCTCATTTAGTAACCAATTCACTTAATGACCTAGTTTCAGGAATGTAACTCTGTTGTTAAATGAGGAATATATATCACTCACATAACCAATCACCACCTGGATCCAGATGTAGAGCTGCTGAGTCATTCCTTGCTCCTCTTCCTCAACCTTCACTGGAAATCATCCTGACATTTGTCACCATTCATTGGTTTTGTCTGTTGCTAAATTTCACATAACTGTGCAATATGTTTCTGGCATCTTTCTCTCAATATCATGTCTGTGAGATTCATCCATGTTGCTGTGTAGACCAGTAATTCTTTTGCATTTACTCTTGAAAACAGGTTATTGTCCAAAGAGAAATGTTATGATCATGTGATTATGATGTCCCTTATGTAAGGGACGCCTAATGCTCATCTATATCACCTCTGGCTTTTCAGTTGAGCTGCCTCTCAACTGCCGAACACAGACACTGGATCACGAGAGTAACCTGTATCAGAATTACATGGGGGTGTTTGATAAAAATGACCATTCCCAAGCCTCACTCCACCCGTTTGATCAGATTTTAGAAAGATGGAACAAGGTTATCAAAGTAGGCCAGGAAAATAAAAAGCTATGGTATAATAGGACTTAGAAAATATCTGACGTCAATAAGATTATTAAAAAAAGAAAAACCCACAAGGTTATAAGCTGTGATTTGAAGTAAGCAAGAAATATCCTGGTCCTTTGGACAGAAGCACACTGGATATACTTAAAGTCATGGAGCAAAACTGCTGCAGAAGTTAAATATTGATTTTTTTAAAATCCCTGTAAAGAGATCAGTGGTCACAAGGAACTCAGGGAAGGGGTATTGAATATGTGGAGCACAGACCATTTTTAGGGTAGGGAAAATTACCCCGTGTGATCTTACAATGGTGGGTATAAACCATGCATTTGTCCGAACTGTAGAAAGAACAATGCCTGGGGTACACCCTACCCTAAACCATTGACTTAGGTCATCAGGTGTGACCCTGAGCCGGACATCAACTGTAGGGGAGGATACTGGGGGTGTGGAGGGGACGTGGGAAAAGTCTCCGTGCCTTCTGCTCAACATCTGTTAACCTAAAACTGCTCTTTTAAAACACTGTCTTTTTTAAAAATTCCCTTGGGACTGCACAGCTAGATAAAAGAGTAAGTTTCAGGAAGCCAGTTGGTTCTTCACCCCCTTCCACCACCTTCCCGGAGCCTGGCTAGACATGGGAAGTGGGTGGGGATGTGACCGAGCACCCCCTCAATTGCAGTTCTGTAACGCCTCCACTTCGCCACCGCAGAAGCCTGGCCCCTACTGCTGCCACGAAGAGGAAAATTACAAAAACAATCCTGCAGATGTCCCTGGAACATCATATCGTGACCCCACTCAGCGCGATGGTCATTGAGAACGCCGCTGGGGACGAGCGCATGCTGGCCGACTCCCCTCCACAGGACATCTCCTGCTGTTCAGGTCAGCATGTTGGTCTGCGGACAGCAGACAGCGCGGCTCCCTCGCCCTGCACCTCTGCTCAGGCCTCCCCTACCCACCCCTTGCACCCAGACTGCGTCCCTCTGGGCCCAAGCTCACCCCTTCAACTTACTTGCAGGGTGGTTTATTGCTGTGGTCTTCAAACATTTTTGCTCACACCTTCCAAAGGAATTTTTAAAACGTATGAACCCCCACACTCACTTTTAACATCAACGTTCAGATTTTTTTTCATCTAGTTTAAACAGTTGCCACTGATATATTTCTGGAGTGTGGTGAATATTGATCTTGTAAAATAAAATCAAGTCACTGTCTAAATTGTAACTAATGAAATAGAATACTTCACTTGAGACTATCATTCATTTTTTTTTAAAATACATGAACAAAGCTGGATGTGGTGGGGGCACATCTTCAACGCCAGCACTCTGGGAGTTTGAGGCAGGAAGATGGCAAATTTGAGCCCAACTGGTTCAACTTGGCGATTTAGTGAGAATCTGTGTCCAAAAAAATTTTTTTTAATTGAAGAAGGCCGTGGGTGAGCTCAGTGTGAAGGCCTTGAGTTCAATCTCCAGTCTCATAAATAATAATAATAATTCTATTTTAATTATTGAAAATCACATAATATTCTCTCTTCTAGTTGAACACAAGCCCTCACAGTGTGAGGATAATGTAGGAGAGAGAACTCTGGGATAAAAGCAAGGGGGCCTGGGGTTTAGCTCAGTGGTAGAGCACTTGCCTAGCATGTGTGAAGCCCTGGGTTCACCCTCCAGGGCTGCAAAAAGGGAGGGGGTGAAAATTTTACCAAGAACCTGTAGGTATGCACAAAACAGGTTCTTGATGCCTTGAGCAACTTCTATGGAAAAATGAACCTAGGAACTGACGGAGGCAGGTTTTGTCACACAGGTGCCCTCTACTACGGCAGCAAAGTTGCCCCAGGTTCCATCCCATCTTGGGCCAGCCCCTCCCCGACGCCGACCGCGCTGTCTCTGGTAGCTGGGCCACCAATGGAGGCCACGCCACCTTCCCATGTGATAAGAGGTAAGAGCGCCTCCTACTGCTTCTGCTCCTCAGCCGGAAGAATGGAGGGCAAGGTGTCTGGTACAGGCATAGAGGGCTTCCACTGAGAGAAGCTCCGTACCTTAGCCTGGCAGGCCTAAATGACTCATGTACCTCCGTTCTGGTGGTAGAAGGACAAGCTCCAGGTGCCAGCAATCGAGCTTCACTCTGAGGCCTCTTTCTGGGTGGTCCCTGATCTCTTCTCTGTGTGCACTCCTGGAAGGAGAGAAAGCTCTCTGGGGCCTCCTCCTGGGAGTCCCGGCACCAGGGCCTCTGCCGCCCTCTGCCGCCCTCCGCAAGGCCCATTTCCAAACAGTATTGCACGGAGGCTTAGGCTTCACCTAGGAATCTGGAGGGGGACAAGTTAGTCCAGGGCACCCATTCCAACTGCATAAGGTCACCCCCCGGAACGGAAGAGGTGCTCCTCCCATAGGGTGGCCGATAGGCATCGTCAGCAAAAGGATCTTCTCCCTTCTCGACAGCGTTCACGCCCTCTGCGCAAACTCGATCAGGTTACATAACGTACTTGCACTTTGCTTCCTTCCAATTGAAAAGAGGAATAATGATACTTCTACATATACTTTTCGGTAGCTAGGCTATTGATTAAATGTGAAACGTATCTAAAATAATAATGAGCACATAACTGTCACTCAATAAATACGTGCTATTATTAGAGGTTAGGATCTCTAAATTTAGAGACCTAAAATACATTAATGTTGTTTCCTCCATAATGCATGTTATTCTGTGGGATTTGTTTGTTTTAAATAGAGTATAAAAAGTCTAGTTTTGCTCAGTCTTTTTTTTAGTTTGGTTTATTGTTTTTTGGTTTTTAGGTTTTTGTTTTGTTTTGTTTTGTTTTGTTTTGTTTTGTTTTGTTTAGACAGGGTCTTGCTATGAAGTTCAGGCTGGCCTTGAACTCACTATGTAGCCCAGACCAGTCTTTAACTCACAGAGATCCTCCTGCCTCAGCCTCCCAAGTGCTGGAATTAGATGTGTGCCGCCACACCTGGCTTTGCTGAGTCTTAAAAAAACCCCACAACTTTCTATAGACTATTGCAGTGGGAGCCGTACATAGCAGGTGCAATTATCTGAAGGCCAGGAAAATGTATTTCTTGAGAGTTTTGGCAGCTGTAGCTTCCTCATGCAGTGGTCAGCCTCTCTGTCCTCTCCCTCTCAACATGTGAGACAGGACACCGCTGAGGAAGTGGCAGCAAGTAGAAAACCAGGCCCATGACACAGTGTGCCAATTACTGAAATGGTTAAGTTTTGCAAACAGGGAGTTTATTCATAAGAGGGACAAGCATGAGCAGATGGGAAAGCCGAGTCTCAAACCCAACTCACTTAAACCTGGGCTTCATTTCTGTTGCCTAGAATTATATCAGCCCAATATGGCAGTTCTGCTTCACCATTGCTCATCAGAAGGTTTTACTGGTGGAGTTAAATAAAATGGCAAAACTGATCATTATCTTTCATAAAAGCCATTTTCTTCAAGCAAAACATCTCAAAATCTGTATTTGTATAAAGGAAGTTATAATATGAGTTATGAGCCCTTGTTCCATGCTTTAATAATACTCTCTAGGGCATGGCTCCAGCAAAAGTCAGTTAACCAAACGTTGACTCACAGCATGAGCCTGTTGGTCTGAGGGATGAAAGCACTCTGGGAGGCTGAGACAGGAGGATCACAAGTTTGAATCCAGGCTGGGCAATTTAGCAACTCAGCAAGTGGCTGTCTCAAAATAGAAAATAAAAAAGGGCTGGGGATGTAGCTCAATGTGAAGGCCCTGGGTTCCATCTCCAGTACCATACACACACACACACACACACACACACACACACACACAGAATAAGATATAATTTGTGCCCTGAATTAGTTTATCCCAGTTTCCACATTTCAAAATGCACACTTGAGGGGATTTAACTCAGTGGCGCTGTGCCTGCCTTGCAAGCATAAGGTCCTGAGTTCAATCCCCAGTACCAAAAATAAAAAAAAAAATGCACACTTGAAAATGTGTGAGTTCTAGGCAACAGATCAGAACAGTTGGGAGGTAGCATTTGTTGTCAGACGCCTTGGGGCCGTATCTTACTGGCTCTATGATGTGATCTGTCCTCTCCTCAAGGATGCAATGAGAATGAGTTGGGCTAGTGTCTGCAAGGGGCTCTGCAGAAAGATCTAGAAACAGGGACGTCTCCATATGTGGCAGCCTACTCTTCCAATCTTTTTATAGCAAACACAACTCTGTAGTTGTCTTCAATTCACCCTTTCTTTAGCCCTGTCAGTCATTGAGGCCAGACACCCAGCAATGCTAACTGCTCCTCTCCCCTGAGCAATCCTACAGAAATGTCGCTTAGGTTTTCCTTGCCAGTTCCACTCTTTAGGCTGGTGCTCGAATGCAGCATTTCCTGAAAGGGTTACAGCTTTATTCTCTAAATGATCTTCCTCTATCTACTTTGCAATACTCTAGTTACTCTGCCACTAGTCATTTTCCTAAACTGAGAGTGAAATCATGTCTTATTATCCTCTAAACCTATAATAACTACCTACCCAATAGAATTAAGGTTCATGTTTTAGTGTTTCACGGACTCTGAGATCTACATTTTTCATCTCATCTTTTTTTCTGCATTCTCTAAGGACCTATCCTCGGCCCACACTGAGTCACTTTCTAAACAAATCAGAGTTCTACCTCCATACCTATCTCATTTTACCCACTCAGAATAAAATCCTTCTCTCCTTCATCTTTTGTCTTCCCTTCTCCCCTCCTACTTTTAAAACTTAGTTGAAGACAGCTTTGCTCAGGTTAAAAATCACCTTTTACCTTCATTCTCACAGTGCTGTGCTTGGGGCATTACTATACCATTTCCTTCACTCTGTCTTAGATTGGTCGTTTTATCTGCTACCTTCACTAAATTATTGCTTGCCTGAAGGTATAGACCTTGATATTTTTATAGCTGTACCAAACATTGTCTAACATAGTGTTTTGCACATATTTGGTTCCCCTCTTCAAGTATTTGTTGAAGAATTAAATGGGGAGGAGGGAGGACTAGAATGGATCCTCAGCATAATCATATCAGAAACAAAGAAGCCCTTGCCTAAGAGTAGCTTGAATCTTCTCTGTTCTTGGGTTTGATTAACATTAGTCTCTACATCAACAATGATATGTGTTCTTTACTATATATGGCAACATAAAATAATACATATAATGGGTTTGTTTCTTACATGTATTTCTTATTCCTGTGTCTTTCTTATTCATTTTATGTCTAGTATCTAGCCTAGACATATGGGATAGCTACAAAATAAATATCCACTACATTTATAAATTACATAAAGCCCTAATGGATGTTCCATGACACAGGGGCAGTGGTGCACAAGTATGAATCACAGCGACCTCTATCCCTAAAACAGTTACCAATCACTGGGGCCTGTATCTCTAACATAGTTACTGAGTATGTATCTAGGCACAAGAAATACTTGTTCTCGTTAAATGAAGGTGTTCAGCAATAAAATACTGATCAAAATCTTCCTTTGCATGATTTTATTTCACTTTTCTTGTATCTTTTCTAGTTGAAAATGACCCACATTTCATCATTTACCTACCAAAAAGCCAGAAGAATATTTGTTTCAATATTGACTCAGAACCTGGAAAAATCCTCAACCTGGTTTCTGATCCAGAATCAGGTAAAATAAAGGGAAATTATATTTGAATTAGACAATTAGGTCACTACCTGGATTTATTTCTTTTTCACCTTAAGAGGAATTCTGTATTTTTCAAATTCTGATCATTTATAAGAAATTAAATCATCAGTATATTGTTTTATAGTTCAAAATATATGATCTAAGTCCAAACTAGCTGATCTTATTTTAACACAATCACTGTAATAAAATATATCAGTTGTAAAACAAGATTTATAAAGAAAAATATGTAAATTCTGAAACAAGATGATTTTCTCAAATTGCCAAGTTTTATAAACCCAAATTATGGTGCCACACATGCAGAAAAGAAAATGGCTAGAGTACAAAAGAGAGAAAATATTTTTTCTTCTATAGGAATTTTAGTCAATGGTCAGCTTATTGGTGCCAAGAAGCCCCAAGATGGAAAACTAAGCACCTATTTTGGAAAACTGGGATTTTATTTCCAAAGTGAAGACATGAAAATAGAAGTTAGCACTGAGAACATCACCATAAGCCATGGTTCTCATACATCCATCTTGTCCTGGTCTGATACGGCTCGCGTCATGAACTCGAGGCAAGTCTGAGTTGGGGCCTATCTTTCACACAGGCTGCACAAATAAATCCAGTCACCAACAACATCAACATAGAACTTAAAGTAATCATTTTAAATATAAGGAAGTTGAGAAAGTCGAGCAAGTCTGGTGTGGTGGCAGACACCTGTAATCCCAGCACTCTGGAGGCTGAGATTGGAAGATTGGAAGTTCGAGCCCAGCCTGGGTGATTTAGTGACTTAGCAAGACTCTGTCTCAAAATAAAAGAAGGCTGGGGATGTAGCTTAGTGATAAGGCGCTGGGTTCAATCCCCAGTGTCATCAAAAAAAATTAAAAGGAGGGAAATTGATGTTCAGGAAAATCATTCTTACTCAGTACACTATTTGTGGCACATGAACCATGTGTTTGATCACCACTGTGTCTTAGTGCCTAGGCTCATGCATGACACACAGTAAGTAAGCACTACTGAAATCTGCAGCAGGCTCTACATCAGAAAGTGTGCTCTAAATACGATGATTTTATATCTTAAGCAGAGTATGTTTCCAATTAGTATCTGTTAACTAACTGTTAATCTACAACATGCCAGATGACAGAATTTTAGAGCCAGGAGTTAAAACAACACTCCATAGCAAGAACATTGTCAAACTCTTAGAAAAGTAGTAGAATTGTACTGGGAGGAATGAAGCATTCTGAGTAAGGGTGAGAAGGATAACTTGCTAAAATATCTGTTCTGGAATCCTTAGTTCCCAGTTGTCTTTCACACTAGGGTGGTTGTCTCCGTGAATAAAGAAAAAACTGTGACTCTCACCCTGGATAAAGAAATGTCCTTTTCCATTCTGCTGCATCGTGTTTGGAAGAAGCATCCAGTCAACGTAGACTTTCTGGGGATCTACATTCCCCCTACAAACAAGTTCTCACCTAAGGCTCATGGACTAATAGGTGAGGTGTCTCTCAGCTGCCTTGCACCTATGGGGCCACTCAAGATCTTTAGTGACTTGGATGGTGGCAGTTAGAATTAGGGGAGGTGGCAGATGTGACTGTGGAGTACAGGACCAACGTGGCAGTGTGGTGACTCTGGAATACAATGGCCAGGACCACTTGACCTTCTAGATAATGGTGTTCAGGAACAGGGTCTCAGAATCACAAACTGGAGGAGCTAAAAGAAGGGGCAGAGCCATTTTAAGTTTAATGCTGAAGATTTTCTTTTACCTACAGGGGGATGGACTGGTTTAGGAAGTCTGTGCTCCAGGCAGAGCATCCAGCCAACAGTTCTTAGCATTTTAAGAAGGGTTGAAATGCAAGCATTTGACATCACACACAAACCTATTCCTATGATTTGAACTGTGCTTACCAGTGCTGATCTCACCCCACTGCCGTCAGATGAGCAGTCAGCTTACTGATGGTCCAGTGGATGGACTTTATGTATAAAAAGACTGTGAGAGATCAGCTTTCAGGAAGGACTCCTCCTTCCCATTGCTGCTCTTTTACCTTTCCAAGAATCTTTTTACCCTGGAAATTCTGGAGGGAGAGTCAACATATCACTTGAACCCAGTGATGGGCCTGTCTTTTTATTTAACTTTGAGTCACATATAAATGTCTGTGCTTTGCTTCACTAGGCCAGTTCATGCATGAGCCAAAGATATACATCTCCAATGAGAGACCAGGAAAGGACCCCAAGAAGCCAGAGGCAAGCATGGAAGTGAAAGGACAGAAACTGACTGTCACCAGGTAGGTCTGGGATGCATAAGACAGTAACAAAAAGGGTTCCTGTAGGCCTGGACTCATTCACTGAAATACAAGCGTGAAAAAAGGCATTTTAAGCTCTTCCTCTGTCAAACACAACAATGCACTAAAGATAGATGCATATATAACATTTGCATGAGGACATTTCAGATAGCCCACCTTAAATGTCAATAATGTCTGTATATGTAAGTCTGTGCCATGAAATTCCAAGACTAATTGATCTATTTATTATTCTCATCTTCATGCATCAGAAGCCCTATGGTCACAAGTTGGAAACAAAAAGTTGCTGTATTGGTTATTTTATTGTCACTAGGACAAAATATTTGACATGCACAACTTAAGGAAGGAAAGGTTAAATTTGGCCCATGGTTTGGGGGTTCCAGTCCATGGTTGGCTGGCTCCAAGGCAGAAAGGCCATGGTGGAGTTGCTCACCTCATGGCACCCAGGAAGCAAAGAGAAGGGGGGAGGTGGGATTGAGACCGACTCTCCAAAGGCTCACCCCTGGTGACAAGCCTCTTCCCACCAGTCCTCACCTACTAAAGTGCCTACATGGTCTAATCACCTTCCCAAAACCCCAGCTCTGAACATATGAGATTTCTGTATCTAAACCATAACAGTTGTCCAAAGGAAGAAATCTTAAAAATACCCATGAACCATGAAAGTGGTGTGGTTTTATAAGTATGTTTTTATGTAAAGCCTTCTTTTTGAGTATAGATTTACTGAATGCATTTTTGTGTAGCTTTTCTTGCACAAATCATATCCATATGCTTCATCCAGAAGTGAGAACTTATACACTTGTATAACATTTTGAGTGCAAACCACTTATACATCTTTATAGTTTTTTAGTTGTCTCACCCATGCATAATTTGATATCCTTTTATTTTTTTATTTTTAATTTTTTTTTGGTTCTGGGGATCAAACTCGGGTCCTTGAGCTTGCAAGGCAGGTGGCTGAACCACTGAGCTAAATCCGCGGCCCTTGATATCCTTTTAAAGCAATTTTTGTCTTTTAAGAATTTTTATGAAGAAGACAACATTACTTTCTTAGAAACAGCTTTTTTTTTTTTTTGCAGTACTGGGGATCAAACTCAGGACCTTGCTCTTACAAGGCAGGTGTGGCGCCACTGAGCTAAATCCCCGGCCCTAGAAAAAGCTTTCTGATTCCAAATGTCATTGGCTTCCATATGCTTAATGAAATTATATTTCAATAGTAAACCATAAAATTATGATAAGTGCCACTACAAAAAATAGATTTGTGAACTAAAACAGTGGGTTCTTAGTGAATGTAGCACTCAGCTAGTGTCGGTTTACAAGATAAGAGAATAGTGAATTACCAATGGGCATCAGGGAGCATGATGAGGAAACAATGAGCACGCATTAGTAATGATTATGTGAAGCTTCATGAAAGACCTTCTATTATATGACAAAATGTACATGCTGGGCCTCACTGTAATCCACTACAAGCACCTCATGATGCATAGCTGAAGCAGAGCTGACTTGTGGGCTCAGCAGTTACATATTTTTATGGCTTATTAATGGCAATGTGCATGTACTTTTGCAAATCATTTGCTTCTTTGCCCTGCAAGTGGAGGACATGAATTTTCTCAGAAACAGCTTGAGTCACCCTTAAATAAAACACTCATCCATAAAGTGAGGGTAAGAGGTGTCTCAGGGTGAAGGATGAGATTGGCCTACAACACTTTGGAGTTTGATTCCTGCCTTCTTCCCACCTCTGTTAATTTCCTGCTTTTTACCTTGCTGGAAGGGTCCATGAGGTTTAAACTCTGTGGGGGTTATATGAATTATATCTAAAGACATAATTCTTATTTTCTGACCTTCTAACACTAACCCCAGACTCTGACATTTCAACACCAATCCCTAGACTCTGACAGTATGTACAACTTGCGTAAGGTGGGTGGGGCCTGGGCAGAGATGGTAATAAGAAGGGGTACGAAAACCAGCTGTCCCAGGACAGCCATGCTTGGTCTGTTCCCTGACCACACACACCATTTTCCTTGCAGAGGCTTACAGAAAGACTACAGAATGGACATTGTGCTTGGAACAGATGTTCCCTGTTGGTTTGTGCACAACAGTGGAAAAGGTTTCATCGACGGATATTACAAGGATTACTTCGTGCCTCAGCTCTACAGCTTCCTCAAATGACCTTAAAGGTTTATAATTTTGGAAATTCTCTGTATAAATACACACTTTTTTCCTCTGTCACTTTTGTAGCCCTTCCTCAGTATGAATAATTTTTTAAAACCCAACCAATGGTAATTGACCAAGTCTGTTAACACATCTGAAGAAAATAAATGTTTTTGCAAAGAAGCTTTAGGATTTTATTGCATTTTTCAGAGGCTATAGTGTGTTAATCAAGGTGCTTCAAGGGACAGCAGCTTTGGAAACTCAAGGTGGCGTGCAGGCAGAGGCCTACCCATGGCATTTACCATAATGGTTTCACTATTGTTGAATTGGGTCCTAACCTTGCAGATTGAGTGTATTTTTTATTTAGTTACACAGGAAAGTTCAGTTAGGAGAAGGCTGAACATGAAAGTAAATAGAGGAGGTTACTGATCTTAGTTGCTCTGTCAAGATTTATGCTGTTATCCTGTCATTCTCTTCAGAGATAACTTTGCTAAGGTACCTGAGATGGCCCAATACACTTGGCTAAGATTCCCTCCATAGTGTTGGGCCTTGAGGACCTTTTTAATTCATGAGGCCTGATTAGTCACAGTTGTCCAGGGAAATAAAACCAATAGATTTATTAAAAGGATTGGCTCACATAATTATGGAGGCTAGTAAGTCCAAAATCTGCAGAGTGAGCCAATAGTACTAAAGACCCAAAAGCGCTGATGTTTCAGTTGAAAGGCCATCAGGTAGGTAAAAGCAATATTGCCAATGAAGTCTGAGGGCAGGCTGCTGAGGACTCTCTTTTACTTGGGAGAGAATCATCTGTTTTGTTCTATTCAAGTCTTCAACTTTGGATAAGGCCTCACATTAAGGAGGAGAATCTGTTTTACTCGTTTACCAATTTAAATGTTAATCTCACAAAAATGCCCTCTGAGAAACATTTATAATAATGTTTGATGAACTATCTGGGCACGTATGGCCCAGTCATACTGACATAAAATTAATCATCAGAACAACCCCTTTCTGTTCACACATTCTCCATATAAGATATAACACAATTGGGGAAGTGTCTGCTTATAAAATGACAATTACGTAACAGTCTTGCTTCTCTGAGATTATTTGAAGACCTCCCTGGAGTTTCTGTTGCTCCTCAAATTCTCTACACATTTAAAATGACTCAGGATGCTACCTCAGATGGCTAATTGTACAGCACTCCCATCACTAAATGACAAAAGAGAATCATAGTGCCAAATTCTCTAGAAACCCCTCCAGCTGTGAATCACATAACATAGTGTGAACTCAGAGTCTTCCTTAGCATTCCATGTAGAACTTTTGTTTGTATTTATATGGTTTCTAAAAGTTATTATGTTAGCTTCCCTCACTGTGACAACATACCATACCTGAGAACAACAACTTAAAGGAAGAAAGGCCTATTTTGGCTCGTGGTTACAGAAGTTTCAGAGGTTTCAGTCCATGGTTAGCTGGTCCCACTGCTTTTAGGTCTGTGGTGAGGCAGAAACATCATGGTATAGGGGTGTGACAGAGGAAAGCTGCTCACTTCATAACAGCCAGGATACAAAGATAAAGAGCCAGAGAGGAGGGACTGGGGACAAGAAATAATCCTCAAGATCATGCCCCCATGACCCACTCCCTCCAGTTAGGCCTCATCATTTAAGTTTCCATTATCTCCCAATAATGCCATCAAATTATGAATCCATAATTAATTTCAACTAATCCACTGATGAAGTTAGAGGCCTTGTGATCCAATCATCTTCCAAAAGTCTACCTCTGAATATGTCAGCCTTTTGAGGGACTTTTAGATCCAAGCCATAACAAATACCATTTACATTCTAAACCTTGTATTAGACTTCACTTCAAAAAAAAAAAAAAGTATGGGGCAGGGGTTTAGCTCAGTGGTTCCACCATCTGCCTTGCAAGTGAAAGGTCCCAAGTTCAATCTCTGGTACCCCCCCCCAAAAAAAATTAGTCCTAACAAAAAGCTAATGGAGCTTATAAGGCAAAATAAACTATAAATTTGAAGTAAAATACTAACTGTTGTGTCTGTATTAGTATAGATGGTGGGTGGTAATGTGCAAGTTTGATCTATAATAATTCTTTCATTTGTTCACAATTTTCCTTAAAAAATTCAATTCCTAAAACAAGTACATTTTCAAAGGCCACAGTGGTGAAATTGCCCTTAAAAATAATTTAAACATTTATTTATGTGTACATTTTTGTGAAACTTCCTTTCCAAAATTCGGTAGAATTCATTTTTCCTTCTAGAAGGTAGGCAAAACTCCTTTGGACATATCCAACTCATATTTAAACAACCAAGTGAGTTTCTTTAGATTAATTATAAAATATTAAAGAAAGGTGATTATTTCTATAATCTAAAAATAACTGCAGTGCTAAAGAGGTATGTGGCACAACTTTTTCATTATATTCTTCTATAAAAATAGCCAACCATGACACATTTTTCAAAATCCAATATATCTTTTCTATTTCCTATTTCAAAAATACTAATCTAAAAATGCTAATATTTAATACAAACTTCAAAAGTGGGTCCTTATAATTAATTTCTATTACTTGGTAAAAACCTTGACTTTAAAATAGCTACCATTAGATATTTAAGTATAGTTGGATTCCTAGTATTTTATGTGTTGTGCAGTGGCTATAAAAATAATAATGAACATCTATGCAGGATATTGAGTAACAGAGTTCTATAAAAAGAAATTAGATTTAAAATCACATCTATATACGTAATTCAAATTATCAAACTTTTATAAATAGTTGGCATCTTGAAAGTCATTTTCTGGAAAAGTGATCTTATAATTGTTCATGTGGATCTCTGTTGACAGTAGAAATATGCTTTGTCTATATAATTAATTTTGAATTTTAAATGAATAATCAGTCTTAGATTTCAAACAAAGAAACCAAATGAACAGAAATATTTGGAAAAGAACAACTTCCCCTGGTTACCTCCTGATTAGGTTCTGAAACAATAGGCCTCTCAGCAATGAAGAAAAACTATCTTGAGAATGACCTAAGTATGCTTATTTATTCTTTGGAGCACTTGACAAACAATTGATGCTGGATCAATAGTTTTGTACACAATACTAGTATTTAATTTTAAACATAACTTAATAAAGCTGTTTTTAAAATTAACTATATATTTCTTCATTAGGACATTTTAAACTCTCCAGGTTTGGCTAGGGGTGTAGCTCAGTGGTAGAGTGTGTACTTAGCCTGCACGAGGTCCTAAGTTTAATCCAGAGCACCAAAATATAAAATAAATAAAATCTCCAAGTCGTGAAAACAAAGTGCTATAGTAGACTCATGTCTTGATAATTCAATAATGAATCTCAATTAAATAGAAACTAAAATCAGTAATGCCAAATCTTTTTCAATTTCAAAATGAAGACTTCACTAGAGTTTTCTTGTTTTAATGTATCCTGATTTCCTTAGACACACGACCATTTGTTTTGATTACTGGGAATTCATAGACTACTAGTATTTAATTTAAATCTCGGCTGGACTATTATTGTGCTACTATTTGTGAGACATATTAACCATCTTTCAGGCTTATATAGCCTATGTTCAAAGCTTTCCTCAAGCATCAACCACTCAGTCATGATTAAACCAATTAGACATACATGTTTTACTGTCAGGAAAGTGTAAGCCTTTTGTTTGAGAAAAAACAGACTTGCTTCAGATTATACCTTGGTCACAAGTTTGTTTTTAAATTACTTTTGAGTTACTATGCTTGTAAATTACTGAAAATTAGATATGTTTTGGGGGTTAAAAACTGTCCATCTAGGGCCGGGGATTTAGCTCAGTGGTTTCGCTGCCTGCTGCGCAAGTGCAAGGACCCGAGTTCAATCCCCAGTACAAAAAACAAAAAAACAAAAAAAAACCTGTCCATCTAAAGATATAACTGAATATTATTAAGTACATCTTGTATTAAGAAGCATCTTGTTCAATGTTGTACAAATTAACTAAGGATCAGGAATTATTTCAGTAAGAACTGGTTGAGGTGTTATTTTTTTTATTATTTTATTGGTACGTTTTAGGTATACATTTTCCTTTTTTTTTTTTTTTTGGTACCGGCACTCGAACTCGGGTCCTTACTCTTGTACAGCAGGCGGGGAAACCACGGAGCTAAATCCCTGGCCCATTTTAGATATACAATATAATGACATTCATCATTGGAAATTTGTACCTTTACATAATCTCTCTTGGTTCTTATTTTTTTCCCCATTACCCTGCCTTCCCTTGAACCCCTCCATCCCTCCCTATTTACAAAGACTTTGTTTCCATTTTTTCATTTTCTCATATTAATTCCACTCCCTTTATACCTTTTAGTCCTTATTTACACTTTCAGTTTCTCACACCAGAGAAAATATTTGGTATTTACACCTGTGTCCTATTTATTTCACTTAAGAGTATTGGCTCAATGTGCATCCATTTAGCTATGTTTCTAGTTTCTCATTCTTTATGGCTGAGTAGTACTCCATTTTATTAAAACACACTTTTTTTTTGTACTGGGGATCGAACTTGGGACCTTGCGCTTGCAAGGCAGGCAGCAGAACCACTGAGCAAAATTCCTGGCCCTACACATTTTCTTTGTCCAGTCTCCAGTTGATGGGCAATTGGGCTGCTTCCAAGTTTTAGCTATTACAAATTGTGCTGCTATGAACATGGGTGCACATGTATCACTGGGGTAT